GTGTAGGATCTCATGCTTTAGGGTATTTCTATTTGTCCTCCAGTTCCAAAAAGGTTTTTGAATATAAAACCCACCAGATTTCAGCACCACTTACGACTTTGCAGGAGCCTTTTAAATGGCTGCCAAAGGTTGAACAGCACCATCTAGTGCACTCTGTCCTGAATCCACCCATGCTGGAGGGACGCGGCTCACACCCACACATCCCTGCCGTTGGAATGGATGCTGACAGCCCACCAGTGGTCACACCTCAGCACTGGGTCAGGCCAATCTTGCCTTGGGGGAGTCTGTGAGTCACTACAAAGAGGAGAATTCATTTGGGATGACCATTGTCGGTGCTGAAGCCGATCCAAGTGCTTGCAGCCTCTGCAGAAGTGATCCTGGAAGCCTTGTGGCTCCCAAGCCAACCTGGCAGGGAGCTAATGGTGCTACAGAAAACACCCCTTTGCAGGGAGGCTCTGGAATTGCACCACACCAGCGCTGCCTGGATGCAGCCCAGACCTTCAACCCAGAGGCTGGGAGCAGTTCCTCTCTCTCCAGCGTTTGCTGGCTCTTCCAGGCAGAAAGGAAGTGTACAGGATCCCACGGGACCAGCCTCAGCTGCAGGGTGACACCAGCAGTGCACCAAAACACTGCTGCCATTTCGGCTGTGGCAGTTTTGCGAAGGCTTAAGGCAGGGCCACGTGATTAGCTGAGGAAGAAGGGAGAAAGGACCAGGTGAAGAGAGAAATGACCAGGTTTGGTTCACTGGCCTCTATCCTTTGTGTAAAGATCTCGCAGGCTGATTCCTCTCCCACAGGCCAGGGGCGTTCAGTTTAGTTTCTAACCTGTTTGATGTCCTTAGGTAAATCTGGAAGTAACTGATGTTGGTCCCTGTGCTTTGCCAAGCTCCTTGGCATGGGGAAACTGATGTGTAAAAGGCAGGGAAAGGGCTCCAGAGGGAGCCAGCCCACGGCTCTCCCATCCCCAAGCTGCCCTGCTAGAGGACCAAAAAACAGGGAGGCACTGGGAAGGCTTGGCATCGTCCTGCAAGAATTCATCTCTTCTGGCCTACAAAGGGGCAGCTGCCTGGCTGCTTTTGCTGGAGCAGGGCAGCACTGGCTCTGCTTTCTCTGGGAGAAGGCACAGAGCAATCCTGTGCTGCTGGAAGGCCCTGCCAGCTGGTCTGGAGCCCCTCTGCCTCCCTGGTGTTCCTGCGGGTGGGATGAATGCTGGCTACTCACCCTGGGCTGTGTCTCCTGAGCTGGGGGGGTCCAAGAGAGCCCCAGGCACTTTTCCCACTCCCCAAGTCCAGCCCAACCCAAGGAGCAGTAAGGAGAGGTTACAGGGAAGGATGTCAGCATGAGGGAGGGCATGTCAAGCCCAGCCCTTCAGCCACCTGCATCCTGGTGGACCCAAACTCATCACCCACCCCTTCGGTTTCCCCTTTGCCACGGAGAAATCTGGCTCTGGTTTCTCATGTGATCTCAGTTTGGGCTGTGAATCTTGCTGGGCCTTTCTCTGGGAGATGAAAAGCTCTCTAATACCTGATGGTCTCTCACCCATGAAGCGACTGAAGTGCTATAATGTCTCCAGGGCTCCTTTGAACTCACTGGGGAGGTTGCGGGCCTCAGCCACTCCCCTGCAAAGCAGGGCTCACTTTTAACTCTCCTCCACCTTCTCCTAATTTCTCAGCATTCTCTCCAAAACGCAGATTCTGGAATCCTTCTGCTGTAGCACCCAGCCCTGACCCAGCCAGACATCCCCCGTGGGGAGCCTGCTGCTCCCGCCTCCTACACTCCCCCCAGTCCATCCTGGGCAGATGCCGGGTTTCCAGCAGAAGGGCCCTGTGCTCAGTGGACAGACTCTTTCACAGCTGCTCGCATTCAACCATGTTTTATTTGCCGGCGACTCAGCTTGTGAAGTTTTCTACAGCTGCCTTGACCTCGTCCGTGTCTCCTGCCCCTCTCATTTCCCTCACCCCGGCGTTTTTCTCAGCAGGGCTTTTTAATCTATTTCTAGACCATTGATGGAAATACTGAATAGCACTGGGCTTCCCATCCAAGCCCGGACACCCACTGAGCGCGCTCCCATTCTGCAGGGATTCCCCATTGATGGCTGTCAGTTTGCCAGCTCCCAGCCCCTTTAAGGTGTCCCTCTTGATGTTGTATTGTGCTAATTTTTAATCAGAATAGTATATGGATTAAGTCACATGCCTGAACAGAGCCCAGGTCTATTATTTCTATGCCATAACCTTTATCAGCCAAACTTGTAATCTCTTCAAAGGATGACATCAGAGTTTGACAAGAGCTATTTTCTGGAAACTAGGCTGATTGCATTAATTATATTCCCATCCTTTAATTCTTTACCAGCTGAATCCCACATCAGCTTTTCTATTATTACGCTTGAGATCAGTATTGCACTGCTACATGTAAATCAGCTCCCAGCATCGTTCACATGAAAGGGTGTAAGGAGCCACATCGGCCTGCCGGGCTCTCTGCCGGGGTGGGATGGGGAGTGCCACTGCCCAGGGTGGATTTCTGTGCATTTCAGAAAGCTGGGGAAAAAAATGCTACCGTTTCCAAAAGCGTTCTCTAAATGCATGGGGGCAGGCACGTGCAACAGTGTAATTGCATAAGAAAGCAGAAACCATCCCTGTTGGAAATCATTCTGAGTAATTTCTGATTTTTAAAGGACTGTCTTGTGGCTTGTTTGCATGTTCAGCTTTTGAGATGGTACCTAGGGTCTGCCTGGCTTGGAGTCTATCGCTGCTTTCCAGGGAGGAAGCAGGCTTTGCGCTTCCCTGTTACTCTGCTCTCTTTTGATCTCTGCATCTGGTAATCCCCTTCTTCTCCCCGCAGTGTCCCCCATCACTCTGGTACAGCAGCCTCAGAGCTGGGGCACCCTGCTCCCCATAACCAACCATCTCAGGGTTTGACATGCCGATGTGGGGAGTCTCCACATTGTGTGACCCGTTCCAGTCCATGCAGTGCCACCTCTTGGACAGTCCCTGATTTCTCCCTGCCGCGGAATTGTCCAGCTCAGAGAAGCAGGACACACTTTGCAGGTTTCAAACCAGCTGTAGTGGTTGGTGGAGGCAAGAGCAGCCGGTGGACCGGCCACCACGCTCCTGCATTCCCAGGCCCATGATGTGTGCTCCAAACCGGGCAGAGCTCGGGTGTGCCATGCCGTTCAACACGGACAGAGCAGTGGAGACTGGTGGTGCTTTGAGGGCTGATGCCTTTCCTGGGCCGAGCCCCTCGGCCAGGCCCTGGGGGTCTCCCGAGTGTGACCCTCTCCGGGGCCATCCCTGCCCGGGATGCTCGCGGGGGCTCTGCGGGCTCCCCT